TCCTTCCTTCCTTCCTTCCTTCCTTCCTTCCTTCCTTCCTTCCTTCCCCCCCTCTCTGTATGTGTGTGCAATTTACAGGGTTTTGGAAAAGTATGAGGTCTTCAATTGTCTTTTGGAATGTAAAAGACCTTTGAGCAAACATGCTTACAAATGTAAGCATTTTTGGAAATTTTGCAACAAAGAGTTGCAATGCCCCACCCCATAGTAACACATCAAGACTGATGGTTTTTAAAGAATGTTAAGTGTGTTTTTTATGATCTTAAAATGAAATTAAGCTGACATTTTTTTCAAGGACATGTCAGAACTTGTGTTTAAAAAGCTGGTTCTCAAAATTATCATATCAAAAGTGATATAATACTTGGCAACTGCCCAATTTTATGGCCATTAGCATCATTCCTCGCTCATGTGACCATGTTTTATGACCTTTTTTTTGCCAGAAATGGGCATTTATTTCTAGTTTCTGGCAAAAAGAATGCCCCCATAGTGAACAATGGTTTCACTTTACAACTGCAGCATTCACTTAACAATCGCTGCAAAAGAGATCATAGAATCAGGCGCTGTCACATTGTGACCTACTTTATGACCATAACAGCTTACAACTGAACTTGTGGCCTCTATTAAGGTCATAATTCAAGGACTAATCTGTATGATAGTATAGGCCAGCCCCACTATTATTTTGTTCTAATTTGTGTTCATAAGTTTGTTCATATGGTTTTGGGACAAGTGGTAAGATTGAAAAAGATGGAGGTCATTTTGTATTATCTTTCCAAACATCATTTTGCAATATGAATATTGAAGGATTTACCTAGTATTGGAGAGGTGCAAAACAAAACCACCACATTTTATAATGTAAAGACATGGAATTACTATTTAGACTTAGGTACTGCTTCACAGTGCTTTTACAGCCCTCTCTAAGCAGTATTACAGAGTCAGCCTATTGCCCCAAACAGTCTGGGTCCTCATTTTACCCACCTTGGAAGGATGGAAGGCTGAGTCAACCTTGAGCCTGGTGAGATTCGAGCTGCCAAATTGCAGGCAACCGGGAGTCAATAGAAGTAGCCTGCAGTACTGCGTTCTGATCACCGGGTTACCTCAGCTATTCGTTCATTCATTCGTTTTTCATATTTCTTAACTCTCTCAGATGTTCTCCCTGCTCATGGCCTGACTCTATCAATGTAATGGAAAGACCAATCAGTTTTCTGATGATCATGGTTTAATAACTTTAAAAACCGAGCTGATTGGTTAAAAACATGTACTATAGTTCATTTTGCCACATGCCTTTCTTTTCTCTCTCTCCCGCTCCCTCAGTATATTAGAGTAATACTAGTATAATAAAACACTACTGTATGTTCTTTTTAGCTGCATCAGGACTCCTTACATAAAATAAGGAGGTGGGATACATCTGGCCAGACACATACACGGCTTTTAAGGAGAATTTATAAGTTACTTAGAGATGATTTTCCTTCTCTGATTACTTCTGTGTTAGTATTCATTCCTTAAGTGAAATAGCAATCAGGGAGTCCTTGTGAACAAACTGAAAAATAAGTAGCCCCCTCCTAGCCCAACAACTGGCTATGGGAGTGTCCAGAGCACCAACCATCCCCGGAGCTCTTTGTGATTACAACATCTCATTGCAAGTTATTTCTGGTGCTAAAAAAAAAAAAGTTTTGGAATTCTTTTAACTGTGCTTTACCTCAGTGTATTTTTACCCCAAAAGATGGCAGCAAATACCCTTTTTCTTCTTTCATTCTCAAAGCATTTCCATATTACTAGGTAGCACAAGGCGAGCTGTTTTTGATTGTGTTTTAAATTAGGTTTTGTGGGGGTTTGAATGTTTTCCCAGCAATAATACTCATGTGGGAATTGGTAGCCTTCAGTTCAGCAAAGCTTCAGTCAAGCGGAATGCAGTCAAATCCCGTTGAAGCAAAAAATGGAGTGCAAATGGAAAGGGGCAGGGGGTAGGCTTCAAAAATTTTAGCAAAGGGTTCTCTGCCCGGTTGTTGGGTGGGAGTAGCCATGGTGTGGTGGCCTAGTTGGCCTCCCGCACCACGTTGGGGGGGACGTTTTTGCCCTCCCCGTGCTCCAGGGGTGGGATTCAAATTTTTTTAACAACCGGTTCTGTGGGAGTGGCTACATGGGCGTGGCTACGTGGGTGTGGCCATGTGACTGGGTAGGCATGGCTGTTTTTGCAGCCCCCCCCCTTTTGGCAGGCCTTCTGGGCCTCAGAGAAGCCTCCCGGGGGGCGCTTTTGCTCCCAGAAGTCTTCCCTGGGGCCCAGGAAGGCAAAACACGGAAAGCAGGGAGGGCGCACAGCAACCCCCTGCGTGCCCCTTTTTGCCTCCTGGGCCTCAGACAAGCCTCCTGGGAGAAGCAGTAAGATAGTGAGGGGGATCCTGGCACAGCTGATCATAGGAACAGCTGATCATTGGGAGGGAGAAAAAAAAACCTTAAGGAGTGACAGGGCGGACAACGCAGTCAGCAACGTCGGGCATGCACGCGATGTCGCGGATGCGTGATAAGGACTGACTGGGAGGGGAAGGGAGGGCGGAGAGGGGTGGGGCCAGCCAGGGGCACAATTTGCCGGTTCTCTGAACTGCACAGAATAATAACAACTGGTTCTATAGAACTGGTCCGAACCGGTAGAATCATACCCCTGCCGGGACCTAAAGGTTTTCCTCAAGTCTCCAGGAGGGTGAAAATGGCCTCCCCACAGGCTCCAGAGGCTCTCTGGAAGCCAGAAACAGGCCATTTCCGGCCTTCCTGAACTTCCATGAGGCCTATTTTTCACCCTCCCTGAGCCTCCGCGCGCACCCTGCGCTTATCTGCATCCAAAACGGGCTGCATGGAGACTCCAGGGAGGGGAGGGGAGGGGTGAGGAGGGGTAGGCATCGCCAGCCAGGAGTGGGATTTGGGGATTCTCCAAACTGTGCAGAATCTTAGCTAGGGGCTCTCCCAAACCTCTGCACACTCCCAGCAACCCACCCTTGGAAAGGGGCTCTGTAGATCTGAAATCTTTTCTGATGTTCTGGGGATTGCGATAGACAGACTACAATTTTGCAACTTTACTACCACATGTGGAAAATGTGGAAGGTTTGATTGAAAGGAAGGACGCTCTGAGGGCTTGTCCCCACATCTCTCTCTCTAACTACAGCTAGTCCTCGACTTACGATCCCCATTGGGATCAAAATTCCTGTGGTTAAGCAAGGCATTTGTTAAGTGAGCCAGGCCCAATTTTGTGACTTCTTTTTGTCAGGGTTATTAAATGAATCACTGCAGTTGTTGAAGGAATCAAGGGGTCATTAAGCGAATCCAATCTTTGCACGGTTTGATTTAAATTGGGAAAGACCGCTGAGTTCTATCAGTAATATGTTGCTGATGCTATCCCCAATGATTGCATTATAAGAATCGCACCACGGGTCATAAGTCAAGGACCGTCTGTATAAAGTTAATAAATAAACAAAATACCTGATTCACTTAAAAAACTGCATTACTAACTTAACAACTGCAGTGTTTCACTTAACATCCATGGCAAAAAGGTTGTAAAATGGGGAAAACTCGCTTAACAACTGTCTTGCTTAAAATTTTGGGCTCAATTGTGGTCATAAGTCAAGGACTGCTTGTATAAATTTAATAAATAGACAAAATACATGAGCTCACAGCAATTGCTTCAAACAATGTGTAGAGTACATGTTTAAAATCTCAGGTTCTCGAGCTCAAGAGAGGCTACAAATCCATCCACAACTTTACCCCCTGCCTTCCTGCTTTCCTCTCTGCCTTCCTGTCATTTATAGGCTGCCAGACACCCAACAATTCTGAGTGGCTTCCGATGAGAAGGATCGCATGGAAAAACCCCCCCCCCCCCCAAAAAAAAAAAGAAGCGTGAATGATTCAAGCAACAGCATATAACCAAAGAAAACCCATCCAGCAGGCTCCAGCTTGCTTCACTTTGCCACAGAACCCGGAAGAAAAAATTGGGCCTGGCTCACTTAACAAATGCCTTGCTTAACCACAGGAATTTTGATCCCAATGGGTGTAGTAGCTTCCTGGATGTGATCAGGGTGGGAGCTATCTGGATCTCTGAATCATAATAGAGCTGGAAGGGACCTTGGAGGTCTTCAGCCCCCTGCACAAGCAGGAGACCCTATACCATTTCAGACAAATGACCGTCCAGTCTCTTCTTAAAAACCTCCAGTGATGAAGCACCCACAGCTTCTGAAGTCAAGC